AGCAGGCATCAAGCATCCTTCTCCCCTTCCTAACAAACTATCCCTATGAAACCAAACAGAATGTGAGGGAAAATCTGTCTCTACCAAAATATGCCATCTTGCCAGGTGGTGGTGGGATCCTAGCACTCGGGAGGCAGAGGCAGGTCAATCTCTGTGAGTTCGAGGCCAGCCTGGTTTACATGTTAATTCCACGGTAGCCAAGGCTACACAGAGAAACCCTATCTCAAAAAACCTAAAAACAAAAAAAACAACAAAGAAATATGTCTTCTGAAAGTCTCCTAGGGTATGGCTTAGTGGGAAAGCATGTGATTAGCATGAGCAAGGCCTCAAGGTCAATACTGGCCACAGCTAACTGATGAACAGAACTGGAATATCACTATTTTGCAATACCAAAATATTTATGCCCTAAGCACCAACAGCTCCTATCACCACAGAAAGGTAACAAGCATGCACTGCCTCTTTAGAGAACCCAACCCTTCACCCTCTCACACACACTGTGACATAGTCAAGCCAAAACCAAATAACTGATCAAGGATACAGAGCAGTGCTGTCCCATATAGCTTTCTATGATGGGAAATCTTCATCCGGAACTGGCCAATTCAGCAGCACTATGGACTTTCGCTTTTAATCCTATGTGACTTAAGCTACATGTGACAAGGACTACCCTAACCTGTTGGATGATGTACCCTTATCCCTAAAATCCACTTGGAGTTAATAGAGACTGAGAAACACCCAAGGTGACTGACTGAGCAAAATCCAGATTGTTGGGACCTCTACAAAGCGAATGACCCACTGCTCCAACAATTAGCTTGCAAGTACATAAAAAAGGGGAGGAAAAAATATGTAAATTAAAAGCAACTAAAGGCCATGCCAAATGTCAATCACAGTGTGTGGACATTACGTGGACCTGATTAAACAAACTGGAGGAGGAGAGTAGGCATTTACAAGCCATTTAACAATGTGAACACATAATTCAAGTGGGTGTGATTGGGGCACATTTGGAACCACTTATAATTGAAATACAGTCAGTCATTGCTTAATGATGGATCCATTCCGAGAAAGCTGGGTTAGGCAATTTTACCATTGCACGGACATTACAGAGTGTATTTACACAAGCTGAGCCGGCTAAGACGTCACCCAGCATTATAATTTTACAGGATCACAGATCTATGTGTGGCCCGTAGTTATGTAGAACATGACTAGTATATCTGGAAACTGCTTCAGAGTCTTGTATGGGAAGGTGGGGGATAGAAGCCAGTAAGGATGGACTGAGACCAAGTGACAGATGCTTATTCTTTTGTCTTTGAAACTCTTCATAATTAAAATTGTAGGGAAAAAGGACACATATTTGACACATACGGTCACCACCCACTAGAGAGCCAAGTGAAAGGTGGACCACTTTTCTTTTTTATTGAGACAAGGTCTCACTGTGTATCCCTGGCTGACCTGAAACTGCATATGTAGACCAGGGTGCCTTTGAACCCACAAAGATCTGCCTGCCTCTGCCTCCAGTGCTGAGATCAAAGGCGGTCGCCACCAAGCCTGGCTGTACTTCTTCAGAACTCACAAGGGAGGGGAAGGCCAAAGGAAAAGAGAACACATTAGGATGGGGTAAGAACAGAAATTCGCCTGCTAGTTCCTACTTGCACCAGGGACCTGCCAGCCATAGTGAGTCAACTCACAGAGTTCACTTTAGATTACTTAGACTTAGAAGACTTAGAGACAGAAGGCACCTGCATTTCCAGGGTTTGTCCAGCCCACAGTTAGAGATCTGCAAATGAGGTCCTTGATTGGACCCAGATGTATGTATCTCCCCACCACAACCTGTTTTTTAAATTACAGAAGTCTTAGTCTTAAAGAGATCACGTCACAACCTGCCCCAAAGCCCACAATGGAAGGTCAGACAAGCAGGGATGAACTACATCTTCCCAACCTGGTTCCAATCCTTCTTCCCAGACGCACTCACCACAGCCAACCAGGCTGTCAAACCCCAGGTTCCTGCTGCAGGGCAGGGCATTAACAAAACCTTCACCAAGGGGCTGTCGGCTGACTTCCTGTTGGGCAGTTTGTGATGGCACAAGAGTGCTAATGGTTCCCCACTCATTTTTTTTTTCATGTAACTCACACAGTTCTTCACAGTGAGGCTTTGAGGAGCAAGATGTTCCCAGTCAAGTCTTCCCTTCTCAGAAGCCTTCCAAAGCTGCTCCTCTGCCCTTGGAGGAACACTCTTCTTGGGTTGGCCATTCTCATCTTGTCCTAAGCTTCATTTCCCACTCCATGCTGCCAACTCCGCCCCTGATCCTAACGGGTACATTTCCTATCCTTTGCTCACCAGAACATTGACTCCTTACTCAAGCACAAGGCTCAGCCCACATCACCCTAACACCAGTCACTCTCATTCCCACAGCCCTCCTATCCATATCAACAACCCTTCCCAACTTAGCGAGCACATCTTGGCTGGTGCTTCCGGTTGGGTCCTCATTCTCCTCTACGGAGATGCTGCAGGTGTTTCCCCCACCAGACCAGAGAGCATCCATGGTTAATGAGCATACACCATGCTGCACCCTTTGCTCATTCCACCTCACACTGAAGTAGGTAGAGATCATGAACACATGAATACGTTTTACAAATAAGGAAACCGAAGCCCAGAACAATGAAGAACTGCTCAAGCTCGCACAGTTCTGAAGAACTTACAAATGCAGGTCTTCGATACTTAATCTCTACTGCCAGAGTGTTCTGGAAGGAACACACTGAGTCGGAGTGTTTTATCTCTTGGCTGTCTTGTACACAGCAGACATAATGTATGCTGCTGGATGTTTTGTGTCGTGTGTCATCCGTCCGTGTCCCGCCCCCCCCCCCCCCAGGCTCACACTTGCCCTTTCTTTGGTCCTACAAGCACACTGACCAATGTGTGTCTTCAAGTTTTAAAACTAAGTCATTAAAGCAGTACACATGGCTGGGGCTGCAACTCAGTTATATAGTGCTTGTCTAACATGGAAGGTGGGGATGATCAGCTCTATGGGGGCAAAAATATGCCATGCCATGAGTGGACCTCATCCTTGAATGGCTTTCTTCCTCTTCCACTCAAAAAAATCAAACCTGTTTGCTTGTTTGTTTGTTTGTTGAAATAGGGTCACCCTATGTTGCCCTCTCTGGCTCGGAACTCCATTATGTAAACCAGGTTGGGCTGTAACTCACAGAGATCCATTTGCCTCTGCCTCCTGAGTGTTGGAACTAAGGGCATGGGCCACCCCACCAGGCTAAGAAACTAATTCTTAGAGGAAATTCTTTGAGTTCTGTATGCCTTATGAAATAGTCACACAAGGTGCTAAGAGATGGGCAATTTGATCAGCCATTTGAAAACTGCTAATACCGGGGCAGATATTTCCAGAGGCTTTGGTGATTCTCATACCAAAATGTCTCCATTGCTGGCCTAGAAAGGCCTTCAGACACCTTCAGTGAATACTCCCTAGGAAATGGAAATGGAAAAGTGTGGGGAGCAGGTTGCTTGTTAACGGTCTGCAAATATGCCCGAGCCCCTCCCCCACCACAGAGGCAATTTATCTTGGAAATGGCTGGTTTATTGACTCCCTTAATCCAAAATTCCAACACTTGTGTCTGCCTAAGGCAGAAAATAGATCTTCCAGAATCTCATGAGACTGGCTTTCTCTCTTTACCAAGATGGGGATGGAGGAGGGCAAACTAACGAACTACTGTCCCTCCCCAAACAACCTGACAATTGTCTTTCTAGCCAGGTGATAAATATGCAAGTGGGGCACTTTGTAGAATCTCCCAAAGGGCAAGAGCTATTCACTTCAGGAAAAACGTTTCCCTCCCACTTAACCCCACCTGGCCCAGAAGCCTCCAGACTACTCACGCCAAACCTCAGCGCACTCTGTGAAGTATAGTCCCCCAGCTTGCAACATCCTAGAGTCTTGCGGGTGCTCTGGCTTCAAATCCTAATTCAGAACCAAATGCGCCCCGGCCCACCCCCGGGGGGGGGCGGGGGGAGGAAAAGCTGCTTTCTTTATCCCCATCTAACCCCTGGATTCACCCTTCCCTCCCCGCATCGGCCTGGGGGCCTAGGTAGCCGATACTCTGGGGCGCCCTAGAATTATGGCCCACTTTATACAAGGTGGCACTACAGCCGGCCAGGCTAGGACCTGGGGTTTATGCATAAAACAAGCCGCCTCCCCTCCCCCTCTAGCTATCTGTGAGTCAGCGGGGCAGGATTCCTTAATCCTAGGGGTAGCGGATACCTTTGAACAGGTGGTCATGGAAGTTCCACCCAACAAAGCGCTGATGGCCATCCAGATAAGATGTTGCCTTCTATAGCTTTTGAGGGGCACAGACATTCCAATCCACTAGGGGAGGAACGCTAAAGAAAAAAAATCTGCTGGTGAGCCCTTTTATCTTTTACCCACTAATTTAATTCTTGAAGATTTGAGAGAAAAGGCAAATCTAAAGTGCCCCGCACAAGCTTCCCGTCTAACAGGCTCCACCAGGGCACTGGAAATAGCGGTGACTGCGAGGCCCATTGTGTCACAAAAAACAAGGAGGGAAACAAAACTCTCAGGACTTCAAGGTGCCAAGGACTGCGTCCCAGAGCGCATCACGTCTAAGACCGCGGGTCGCGCTTTTTCTCCACCCGAAATCTCGGACCATCTTAATAGTCTGGCCTTGGACACGGGGTGGGCAGCTGAACCGGGTAGTTGGGCTCGATCTTAAGTGGTTCCCGAAGCCACTGCCAGCGTCAGACAGGGCCACCACCCTGGGGGTTGGGTCCGCTTAAGATGTTGGCAGCCCGGGCACCGTGGTGCAGGGGACAGGTCGCGCGGAGCCTGGCTGCCGCCCAGGGGGCAGGTGCAGGAGTGACGGGCCGGCGTGCGGCGCCTGGGCCCCGGTGCGCGGGCGGGCGCGGCAGGGAGGGGCGCCGGGGCTCCGGAGCCGGACGCCAGGGCGTGGTGCAGGTGGCGGCGGGGGCAGAGTCGACACCCTACCTTGATTTTTGACCTGGCAACCGGCCGCTGCATCGCTGCCAGGTGTCCATCGGGGCCTTCGGCGTCGTGGAGCTCTGGAGTTTCAGGCTCCGGCGCGCGCGGGGACGAGCTGCTCTCGGTGCCTACGGGCTCCCCGGCGCTGCTGCTACTGCTGCTGCTGCTGCTGCTGCAACCGCTGCTACTGCCGCCGTCGCTGCGGCAGTCCTCGGGGGGGTCGGAGAGCAGACAGCCCAGGCTCACTGTGGAGGAGGGGGCCGCACCCCAACACTCAACCACACGCGGCGTCACGCCCGGGCGCCCACGGCAGTTTGACCTGCGGGCGGTGCCGCCGCCCCGCCCCGGACCTGGGCACCACGCCAAGTGGGCGACGTCCCGAGGGTAGACGAGTCAACCGGGCGATCAGCCCCTCGAACTAACTTAAGGTGCCAGGAGACCGGTCCTCAGGCCACCCCGGCGCCCACGAAGCACCAGGGGCCATGCGCCGCGGAGAACCCCGCGCGCCAAGTTTCCTCTCGCGCCCGCGGAGGCGGGTGTGCCCTCGCCTTGCCTCGTTCCAGAGAGGTTAGCGGACCTTCACGTGCGGCTTAGAGGACGTAGGGTGCAAGGGAACCCCCAATGCCTTCCACCCCCTTCCAGGGCCAGCTCGGCCCGCGCTGCAGCCAACGGTCCCGCCGCCCCGCAATTAGCCCTGTCTAGGGAGAAAGCACCAGGCGTCCCAGGTTTCCCAGCCTGGTCCCCGATTCCCCCTCCCTCAAGACCCCCCACGACCCCAGCCGAGAGGGGGAAGGGCTGGGAACGTCAGCCCTGGTAGCGATCAGGAGGGCCGCAGTCACCCTGCCCCCACCCGGGAGCCCCGCGCCCAGGCCGGGCCCCCCGCGCTCCTCACCTGGGATGTAGGTGTCTGCCCTTTTGTCATCCGGGAGCTCATCCCAGCTGCGGACCGAGACTCCCGGGCTCCTCCTCTTCACCAGAAAGACTTTGGGCATGGTGGGATCCCCTCTTCCGACTGCGGCCCCCTCCTCCCCGCTGCTCCCCGCTAGTGGCGGTGGAGGCGCCTGAATCCCCTGGCTCCCGGAGTCCGGAGCCCACCTTCCCGCCTTGTCTGCCCTCTTCCTGCACCTCCCGCCGCGCTGCCCCGGCCTTTCCCCTCACTCCGGGTGACTCGCAGCCTCCGGGCACGGCGACACCTATGCCTTAAATCGCGCGTGAGACCACGCCGGGGAAAAAGTTTCATAAGGTGGAATAGAAAAGGCACCAGGAAACTTGGGAGTGAGCATGCGCCCTGCAACATAACGGTGTCAACAAGCTCGCTACCTGTCCGACCGGTTCCGGCGGCCGGGGCTGCCTGATCCAGCCCTTCCTTAGGCATGAATGTTTGCAAAAGAATTTAACGTCTGATTCTTCCCCCCTCCTCTTTTTAAAAAAGGAAGAACATTTTTAAAATAAACCCTCTGCCTCATACCTCCATCACACGCACTTTACAGGATAAACTCTTTAAAACAAGCCCCAGGTGCACTGCCCCGGGCACCCTCCTACGAGTTGGGGTCTCCCATGAATTGGCCCCCACCTCCGAAGTGGATTTGTCTCTGTCAAGCAAGCCAGAAATTGGCTCTGGACCTTGTGGGACTGTTTCCAGGCTTTCTGGAACCTCGGTGGTCGGATGTGGGAGGGTCCTCAGGACGCTTGTCAAGTAAAGGGAGGGAGGGGGGCTGAGAGCTTCGGTTTCCTATCATCTGGAACATCCCTCAATAATAAGTCTAAAAATCTTGCATCTTTGGAGCACGTCGCTTTACTGATCTGTGCCACTCAATCTAAGAAAATAAGGCTTATTCTACCAAAGCAGCTTCCACCCCGAAACCTTGCACCCCAGGAGTCCCTTCACCCAAGATAAACGCACAATCAAGACAAAAGCCAAGTGCACGTCATGAGAACGCTTACTTAAAGCGAATCTCTAGTCCTCAGCCTGTCCCATTACTTCCTACCCTAACCACTGGATTCTCAAATTCGGAGGCAGGAAAGGATCCATCCAGGAAACCAAGGATTGAAAAATGATACACTCTCTCTCCTCCTCCATCAGCAAAGACGGCTAGTAAGCTTTGAGGTCTTTTATTTTTTTCCTATTTACCTTCCTTCCTGGAGGGAAGTGTTGGGGGGGAGGGGTCTGGTAGATACTAATTTTATAGGGTTGGTCTGTTCACTTTGGGGGACCCCGACCCCTCTATCCCAAGGCCCTGTTGCGCTGCGCCCAGAACAACCCGCGCAGCTGATGTCGTGGGCTCCCGGCTCCAGGGAGTGGGCAGACGAGTGCCAGCTGCTGGAGGCTGCCGGGGCGCGTCTGGCCAGGGGTGTTCCGGCGTCTGAGGTTTACGGAACCGCCAGGCTCACCTGCCCATAACACGACCCGATGCGCTCTCAGCCCACATGGCCCGGGGAATCAATATAGGGGCTGTCCCCGTCTTCTTCCGCCTTTGGAATGGCCTTTAGGGATACAGCAGCCTGGTAACGGATTTTCTGGACTTGGCTGGCGTATTCCCAGGGAGCACAGAGAGGGGGCGCAACTCCGGCGAGGCTGTGCAGGGGAATAAGGCGTACGCACCATGACTACCCGTCCGCCTTCAAGGATTGACCCCACCTGAGATCAACTCTGAATTCAGGTTTCCTCCGAGAAAACTCGTCTAAGAATGAAAAGGACTTTGATCCTGGTAAACTAGAGGAGGGAGACATGTCTATAGCGGCATAAGAAAATGAGGCTTGTTGGCTACAGAGTTGATGGCGCAGCTTCTGGGCAACTCTGCAGATGTATTTTTATCTGCCAACAAACTGGAGACTTGCTAGAAAGAAGGAGCGTGGTGAATGAAAGAGTAAAAATAAAACCACGAAGCCACAGAATTATCCTCCATCTTCAAGAATCTTCAAAACTTCATTCAAAATTCCTTATTTTTATTCAAGAACCGGTCAATTCTATTGATAACGCAAGCCTTTTCTGCCTTCCTCCCTCCCTCCCTTCTTCCGGGTTTCAAATCACTGAACACCTGGGTCATTATTTTTGTTCTTTAAAAAGATCACATAGACTTGTGGTTTATATGCTTAGACACCTCAAAAGGCTCTGCAAACTCCAGGGCACTGAGAATGAGGAAAACATAATTGCTTTTAGTCTGCGATTGGGGGGGGGGGTATACATCTATGATATTTGCTAGATGTTTCTTTTTATTGAAAATAATTATTTTTCATATATTCTGATCATAGTTCCCCTCCCCCAACTTTGCCAGATCCTAAGAAGTATTTTATGGGAAAAGAATCCTAATGTGTTTTTATTCTTTTATTTTTAAAACTCAGTCTTGATATGTGTTTATCAATATCATTAACATACAAAGGACCAGTCTTGCCTTTAATGCAGCCTCAAAAGCAGTACACAAACCCTAATTAAAAAACAAAACAAGCCGGGCGGTGGTGGCGCACGCCTTTAATCCCAGCACTCGGGAGGCAGAGCCAGGCGGATCTCTGTGAGTTCGAGGCCAGCCTGGGCTACCAAGGCGCAAAGCTACACAGAGAAACCCTGTCTCGAAAAACCAAAAAAAAAAAAAAAACAAAAAACAAAACAAGCCAGGCGGTGGTGGTGCACGCCTTTAATCCCAGCACTCGGGAGGCAGAGGCTCTGTGAGTTCGTGGCCAGCCTGGTCTACAGAGTGAGTTCCAGGACAGCCAGGACTGTTGTTACACAGAGAAACTCTGTCTTGAAAAACCAAAACAACAACAAAACAAAACAAAACAAAAACCAAAATCTCAGGCTTGAAAGTCTTGTATGGGATCCTTAGATTGGATATCCAGCTCAGTAGAATGCTTCCAGCGGTAGGTACTCACCATCCCCAGCAATTCTGTGGTCTGTAGCTAGACATATCTCCTTCAGCTTGTGTTTCCATCTCAACTCTTACTCTGTCCTGGAGGTGGCACACTATTCTTTTTTCTTTCTTTTTTTTAAGATTTATTTATTTATTTTGTATACAGCATGTATGACTGCAGGTCAAAAGAGGGCACCAGATCTCATTACAGATGGTTGTGAGCCACCATGTGGTTGCTGGGAATTGAACTCAGGACCTCTGGAAGAACAGTCAGTGCTCTTAACCTCTGAGCCATCTCTCCAGCCCGGCACACTATTCTTGAAGTCCCCTTCCCTGTCTCCTCTTCCCATGGTTCAAGTTCTGGTCAGCAGATTTACATAGTCTTAGTTAAGGCTTCTTTTCTCTAGAAACTACTCTCAGGTTGGAAATAGACAGGTACAGACCTGCTCAGTGGTACTCGTAGAACCCACAGCCGCAGGAAATAGGATGCTGCTGGAGGAATAGTCCAATGTTTAACAGACAAGTCAGAAGTATCCCCCCCACATTTGTCTGTCAGTCTGATCTGAATTTCAGATCAGCTGGGATTGCAGAGACTCTGAAAGAGTGTGCTTGTGTGTGTGCATGTGTGTGTGTGTGTGCGTGTGTGTGTGTGTGTGTGTGTGTGTGTGTGTGTGTGTGTGTGAAAGAAGACTCAACATTCCCGAAGGACTAGTGTGTGGACTCAATGTAGGCAGAGTTTTTCCGTCGGGACTGCTGGCTCCCAAATAACCACACAGAGACTTCTTATTAATTATAAAATATCAGCCAATAACTTAGGCGTGCTTTTAGCTAGCTCTTACAACTTAAATTAACCCATTTCTATTCATCTATGTGCTGTCCTGAGACTCATTTACCTCATCTACATACTTTTCATGCTGCTTCTTCTGCCTCTGGCTGGCAACTCCCCCAGCTCCACCCTTCTTCTCCCCAGCATTCTCTCTGCCCCCAAAATCCTGCCTAGCTACTGGCCAGTTAGTTTTTTTATTAAACCAGTCACAGTGATATATATTTACACAGTGTAAAGGAATATTCCACAACCCAATGGACCAGATGCCAATAGAAATGTAAAAGAAGTGGCATGAATGCTCCCAGGCTCTCATCTAGGATTCTCTAACTTGTGCAAAGCTCCCAGTAGGAACCAGCAGGGACTTTCCCACTTGAGCCAAGAGTCCCAAGGGAAACCTCACTGCTGTCTACTCGGTCTGCAAACAGTGGAAGTTTCCTGAGAAGGTCTCAGTGTCTCCTCCTCTGAGGCATGCCACAGTCTGGAAAAGGCAGGAGAGTTTTCTCACCTGCTCTAGGGCATGCCTGCCCTGTAGTCTTTCTCCGTGGCAAATTGCTTCTTCCAGCTCTAAGCCTATGTGGTTCTAGACAGGCTGGCTCCACCCCTCCTGTGGGAGGTGGACATCTCACCCAGCTAATTAGAGCCTCTGTCAACTTGGCCATAGCGACTACCTCGGTGTCAAACATGAGAGCCAAACAGAACCAGCTCTGAAGATGAGCAAGGGATGAGACCCCTATAAGAGCACATTTCTGGGTTTATTTATTTACTTTGTGTTTATGTGTGCCTGTGTGATGTGGGGATGAGTGGGGGTGAGAGTATGCACCTATGCTCTTCAGAGGTCAGAGGAGGGCTGCAGGTGTCCTCTTCTCTTTCTCTTTGTTCCTTTGAGGGTCTCTCACCAAACTTGGAGCTTGCAAACCTCAGAGACCCTTCTGTCTCCATTTCGTCAGTGCTGGGGTTACAGGTGTTCGTAGGACCATTCCCAGCCTTTCACATGGGTGCTGGGATCCGAACTCCAGTCCTCTAACTGCTGAGTCATCTCTCTGGCCCAAGTTTCTGCTGTTTTAAGCCACCAAGGTTGTGGCAGTTACAGCAGCCACAGGGAAGCATTGCTCCCATAACCCCCTACTGCTCCCTCACCTTCCTTTTGGGCCTCCTCTTCTTTCTCTGTTCCCTATTTTCCCCCTAGGACTCCTTACTAACTCTGCAAAAGAAGAGTTAACTTGATAATGTCCCTTCCATACCTCTTTGTTAGGAAAGTTTCTGTCCTTGAATGTCCTCTGTGTTATTAGTCTCATTCGTTTTTCTTTTCTTCAAGATCTGATGCCAGGCCGGGTGATGGTGGTATACACCTTTGATCCCATTGCTTGGGAAGCAGAGGCAGATCTCTGTGATTTTGAGGCCAACCTGGTCTACATAGTGAGTTCCGAAACAGTCAGGACTATGTAGAGAAACCCTGTCTAAAAAAAAAAAAAAAAAGATTTGATTTTTATTTATAGAGGATGGGGATGAGGGTGGGATATGCACATGTATGCAGCTTCCTCCTGGAGGCCAGAAGAGGGCGTCAGATTCCCATTAGTCATGCCATGTGACATTGTTTCATCCAGTGATTCACATAAAAAACTCTGCCAGGTACAATGTATGGATGTTCGGCAGCCACCTTGTAGCAAGGAGGATGTTAACATGATACTGAAAACCCCAAAGCAATAGTTGGCAAAGCAAGAGAGTGAGCCTTCGAGGGCTTGAGCGGCTGAAAGCAGGCTGCGACTATCGAGTTCAGAAAGGGCGTGGAAGAAAGTGTTCTCTGTTGTGTAAGCCAGTTCCAGTTGTGCAGCAATGCGTACCCAGCACACTCAACACGTAAATCCTGATGAAGCCTGATTTAGACGACACTGGAGAGAGAACTTCCTTCTTTCCAGCAAACTCCTAATTTTCATTAGCCATCTGACACGTGTAATTTATTTTATACAGATATCGAGAAAGTTCGTTATCTCAGTCTTTTCCTTAATGATACCGGGTTTCGTGGTACATCAGCTGTGCAATGCGTCAAAATGGAATTCATCTGGGAACGGGAACGCATACCTCTAATTTTAGTGAGATCCAAGAGGGTCACAAGTTCGAGGCCAGCCTAGAGTACAAATAGTGAGACCTTGTCTCGATAATCCTACAGCCAGGAACTAGGGAGATGGCTCAGCGGTTAAAGCGCTGGCTCTTCTTTCGGGGGACCTGGGTTCAATTCCCAGAACCCACATGGCAGCTCACAACCGTCTATAACTTCAGTTCCAGGGGATCTGACACCCTCTTCTGGCCTCTGAGGGCACCAGGCACACACATGGTGCATAGACATACATGCAAACAAAACGCCCATACACATGAAAAATAATAAAAAGTTAAATCCTATGGCTCGGGAGATAACACGGTAGTCAGATGCTGGCCTAGCAGGCGTAAAGCTACAGGCTCAGGCCCTAACTCCTAGAGTTACCAAATCTCCTCCAATTATTATTATTATTATTATTATTGTTGTTGTTGTTGTTATTATTATTATTTTATTTTAGACAAGATCTCACTCTGTAGCCTGGGCTAGCCTCAAACTCATCTGCCTGTCTCTGCCTCCTGAGTGCTAGGATTAAAGTCGAACGCCACCACACCTGCCAGATTTAAAGACTTATTATTAGTAGTACATGTATATGATATATGTATGTTTTTGTATGTTTGTATTTGTTTGGCGCGCGTGCGTGTGTGTGTGTGTGTGTGTGTGTGTGTGTGTGTGTGTGTACATGAGTGGGCAAGAAGTAGCCTGCAGGTGGAAGTTAGAGAGAGGGTGGCTTCTGGGAGCTGGTTTCTCCTTGCACTGTGGGATGTAGGGATTGAACTCAGGCCATCAGGCTTGCGCAGCAAGCCTTTCACCAGCTGAGCCATGTGCCTGGTGCTGAGTCCTCACCAGCACTGCTGAGTAGCTGCTGTACTCAGATCAGTGCAGAGCCTCGGTTATTTGCTTCGTTATCCTGGGAAATATTTGTCATGTGAATGTCTGAAGCTCCTGTGTAGTGAGCAGGGCATCTTGATCAGTCTAGGCACAGCACAGTTTCCCATCTTCCTGGATCAGTCTATGCACAGAGCAGTTACC